AGCTAGAGGTTTCTGGAAGCAGTTTCATGTTTTCCCAATCCTCCCTTCATCATGGACTCATCCTGTCAGTGTCAGTTTCAGAGTAAACCATAAAACATGTCCACAACCGTGATTATAATTTCCATCATTGTAATTTCCCTAGGTGGATGTGAGAGCCTCTTGCTTGGTCCCTCGGTTTCCACTCTGGACACTTCTCAGCCCTAATTCATTTTCTTCATAGTTCCCCAAAGAAGGATTTTAGCATGCAAATAAGCCATTCTTTTGCTTTAAGCCATCCAATGCCTTTCCATTACATTTAGTTTAAAACCCTTATTTACGTGATGGCCACAGGGTCATGCATTTAGGTGGCCTCTGTCTGTTTCTCCAATAGTATTTCAAACCCTCTTCTTTTGATTCACTACAAGCCTAACACTCTGGTTGTTTCTGCAGGCCTCCAGGCCTCAGAATGCTAAGCTCTTTTCCACCTTGAGGGCCTTTGAACATTGCTGTTTATGTCTGTTAGCTCACTGAAAGCAGAGCCGCCTCCTCCACTTCAGCTCCCCAGGAAAATCTTCCTGGAACACTGTTAGTAAATCTCCTTTAATTCTACTTCCTTTAGCATCTGTTGCAACAGCAGGTTAATTTTATTCATTGCACAATGCAGTTTATACTTTCACTGTCACTTGCTTAGTGTCCATTACACTACTATCTGTCAGCTCCCATAAACATAGGCTTTTAACCCCCACCCTCATCAATATATCTTCCCATCTTCTTGCACCTAGAACCAGACTGTGTATATTGTAGCTGTCAGTAATATCTGATGACTGAATAAATGATGTTAGCCATAAATGTAGAGAAAAAGGCATTTGCAGCAAAATGAGATAAATTTTGTTTGTGGTGATTTTTGTTCCTCCATTAATATATCTCCTTTTAATATGTTCTTATATATGGAAAAAGGAATCCAAAGTAGCTATTAAAATAACTGTTTGGGCATAAGAAGCGGGCTGACAAAGCAGGCAATTCAAGGATGGCTTTTTATTCTATCAACCTAATGAAGAAAATTTGTAATCTTTGATCACAGCAAAACTGAATTTTAATGTTTAATGTTATAATAAGCTACATAAAATCAATTTATTATATAAACATTTCAAAGGGAAGGAGGAGGAACCTTTAAAGCATTTCAGTAGCATTTCCTGGCATACATCAATGAGTATGTTAATTAGATTATTTGATCTATTCCTGGTACTAGTGGAGAAGATAATCAAAGATAATCAGATTGAGGCATAGTGGCCAAGACTACTGATTATCCAGCACCTTCCCCTACATTCATTCCTATCTCTTCTTCTCCAGGTGCTGTAGATCCTAAATTCTTACCTTCCTACCTTCTTTGTCACCATTATTCTGACCCAAGAGATAAAAGTAGATGTGTGCTTGGAGTGGGAAAGATTTTGTTAACATTTTGTAATCCTGATTGAAAAAGCTGGTAGTACTTCTTGCCCTGCATGATCCTTGAACACAGACTCAATGTCTGAGAGCTACCATATTGAGAATAAAAAAAAAGACCAAAACGACTACAGAACAGCTAATCCTTATTTCATTGACTCACATCCACAGTTCCGTGCACATTTCTTGTAATGTGAGAAAGATAATCTCCTATCTGTCATTATTACCTTGGCCATGTTTGATTTGTGACTTGCGAACGATTGCATTTAGCCATATTTTGTTGGGTTTTCTGTTCTAGACACTAATGTTAAGTTTGAAGGATGAGAAAGAGGTATAGTTACTCATGGATATACAAATAAATGTAATTCAGATGGAACCTAGTCTTCCAATACAAGATTAGTGAGGCTTTTGGATATATTCTTGAAATAAGTAGCAGGAACAAGGAACTGAAGCTCACTTAGAGGGGGTGTTTAACATATGCAAGTACCTTCTGTGGTAGCACCCTGTGTTAACAGAGACTTGGGGTACTTGCTGGCATCATCAGGAAATACGTAAAGGAGGGTGGGTAACAACAGCAACAGTTTCTGCTGGCATTGATCTTTGTCTGGTCTTGGCCTGATCACCATCTTAATATCCTTTTCTTTTATCTGACCCATGGTGAAATAGGGTCTCTGTATTTCTCTCTCTCTTCCTTCTTTTTAAAAAATATATTTTATTTGAAAACAGAAAGAAAGAGACCTCCCATCTGCTGATTTACTTCCCAAATGCTTTGTACAGCTGGGCTGAGTCAGGCTGAAGCCAGGATCTGGAAACTCAGTCTAGGTTCTCCATATGTTTGGCGAGAACACAGGTACTTGGGCTATTACCATTCTTCCCAGGGTGTGCAGAAGCAAGAACTTGGAATCAGGAGTGCAGCCAGGACTTGGACTCCAGTATAGGGTGCAGCCATTCTACATGGTATCTCAACTACTAGGCCATATATTCCCCAGCTCCTTCTCTTTATATGTATTTCCAAGAAACATTTGTGATACAAATTTTCTTAAGCTATTTTCTACAGGCCCCTCAACTCTGGGATTGGTTAGGGTGGTCTTGAGAAGGATAAGTTCATATCAACTCAATAAAACTCCTATGCTGGCAGTTTATGCTACCCTGTGATCTCAGACCCTTTGATCCAAAGTCAGAAATACTTTTGCCCAGTTTCTGTGAAAAGGAATCAGGTATTGCTCGTCCCTGGATTGAGCTGCCAGTTATTCTGCTTTGTTCACGGACTTCTCCAGATAAGGGAAATAGTTTTCAAATTAGTGCAGTAAGTGACATTCTTCCTTCCAGTGAAGTTTAGTCAGAGTCCAAGAGATAAAATCACTAAAATAATAAAAGGCATCCATTTTAGGTGTTTCCTAGGTGAAGGCTAAACACCATGGTTCTACATGTATTGATCCATTTCCAACCTTGCAGCAAGTTAGTGATGATTGCACTATTTAGTGATGATTGCAATATTATCATTACAGCATCAGAAGTTTAAAGTAGAACCATTTGAGCAACATTGGGGAAGAAAAAGGGTTGGTGCCTTGGTACCTTGGCTTAGTCTCATCTCTATCTCAGTGTAAACTCCTAGGATGTCTGGGTGGGAAACCTGCTGAGTAACACAGAAATGAAGGAATTTAGCTGGGAGCTTGGTAAAATGTCAGGCATACAGATTGTCTGAAGAGGGTGGCTGCCACTCATGTTTTGGGAAACTGTTGCCAAACTCTGCGCATTTCAAACAAACAAACAAACAAGAAATACACCTGATAGAGGATTTAGTTTATGAGTCATGGGCTTGGAACTCCTCGGGGAGTCGTAGGGAATCTTAACACATATCCTAATATGAGTCTGTAAGAGTGTCATTAATAGGTAATATGCCCCCAATTGGGGAAATAAAGGAGGAAACAGGTCCTTGTGTGTCTTCTGACATGAGTATGCTTTGACGTTCCTCTGTTATATGAACTAGCTAAGAATCATTTCTGCCCACTGTTTATCCACTGGCCTGATTTATTTTTAAGTAAGTCCTTCCCTTGTCTGGTTCTTTCCTTTCTTCACCATGTGTTTGCCAGTGTTGGCCAAGCATCTAGTCTCACACCTCCTCTCCCACGTTTCCCCCTCCCCCTGCCGACTGTCTCCTTATTTAAAGAAAAACAAGATTATAATGGAACATGATGAGACTTTCTAAACTATACAGCAGGCAAACTAAGTCTTGGGAGAAGCTTGTTAGGAAAATTTTACTCTGTTGCTGCTCAGGAATATTGTCCTCATCAACACCCACTGCAAAATGTAGGTGGTGAAGATATAGCCAGAACAGCTCCACAGGCCTTGCTATTCATGCACTCATGCCTCTGGATACTCCATGAAGGTCAAATTCTAAGCCTTGTCTACTTGCATTGCTTTTCAAGTTTCTACAAATATGCGTAGTAGAAAAAGTGTTGATAGACATTAAGTAACCGGAAAAGAAAATACAGCCAGAGCTTATTTATTAGGTAAATCTCATAGTATTTAAATATGACATTAAAATTCCAGAACATAGTTGGAAGAACATTGTATATAAATACAGAAGGTCAGACATATGGGAATTATTTTGGATTGTCTAGATTGCTGATCTTCAAACTTATTTCCTCATCCTCTCAGTCATTTATTCCTATCATTGCTCCTTTCTTAGCTTCAGAATTACATTTTTTCCCCCCAAAACAGATTATAACCACAGGTGTAATCTCTAGCACAGACAGAAATGCAACTACTCTGGTTCTGTGTGGGAGACTGAAATGTCACTGATTCAGCTACCCTAGTGCTTTCAATGCAATGTGAAGCATCTTTGAGAATTCTGTTTTTGTGTCACAAGAAACAAATTTACATCTCCAGTGAAACTGGGTTATTTCCAAGGTCTTTCTTAGAACCAAGAAATGCAACTATTTTGAAGATGAAGGAGCTATTGTCTGGTAGTCTGAAATGACGTGCTCAGGGTCATACAGAGAGCTCATTATGACATGCAGGCTGTCCTAAAATCCACACTCATAATCCTGTGCCCCTCCCACGTGGCAGAAGTGGAATAGGACAGAAAATCTCATCTTCCATTCCTAAAAGGTGTATAATCTTGACAACAGAGTCAGCATTTGTTTGTTCCCTCACTTATAAAAGGAGGTAAATGGACGTTCCAGTTTATATTTCTGTGAGGATTTGCTGAGATGATAGGCACACAGGATTCAGGATTTTGCTTGGCATATGTCAGGTGTCCGGGAAATGTTAGTTGCACTACACTCTGTCTTCATTCTTTCTTGTACTTTTCAATTACACAACACTGGAGTCGTGTATTAGCCTGCTAATCCTGATAGATCACATCAACCGGAGACCAGACAGAGCTAGCCCAGCACTAGAATGAGTCTAGGTAATCTGTAGCAAGCAATGAATACCTGGCTCTAAAGAATAACTGAACAGTATACACAGGAAAAATGTAGGTAGAATGCTCGTCTCTTAAATATTCCAGTACTTTTTCTCCTGAGAGAAAAACAACATCAGGTGAAAAAAAATGTTGAGAAGAGTTGACTGACCTGGGAGAGATGTCACAGCCCTGCTGCATGAAGGCTCCAAGGGAGAACCACAAGCTGTTGAATATCCCAAATTCATTGGACTGGTCACTGGTCGTCTGGTCTCTCCCTTCCTCAAACTCTTCACTGTGCCATTCATAGGGGCTGAAGCGGCTGACCAGGAAGAGGACAACACTCACTCCAATGTAGGCAAAAACAATGCACATCCAAATTTCGTAAGCCAAAGGATCAAGGAAGGAGAAGACTCCTGGCTTGGACTTCTGTGGTTTTTTGATCATGATGGAGATTCCCAAACTCATAAATGGCTTGGAGAAGTCTATAACCTCTTCCCGAACCAGGGTGATGGTTAAGGGTGCCACGGCCACATCTGCTCTCTAGGAAAAACAAACAGGTGTAACTGTACTTGCACTTGTTGTCTTCTCACTATAATTTTTTTTATATATATCTTAAAGGATGTGAGAATGGGAAAGAATCTTAGAAGGTGACCCCCTTCTTGCTATATGGATTTTTCACTGGTACCAATGGTACCAATTTTTTAATGGTGGAATGTCATGATACACTTAAATAGAAGAATGATGGACTTGTGAGTGTTGTTGAAGAACTATACTATTGTAATAACATGGGGGAAAACAGTTGTGGGAGGGGGATGAGGGTGGAGCAGGGAACCCCTGTGCCTATGAAACCATATAATGAAAAATAGTAAAAAATAATAAAATATTATCGACAGGAGCAATTTGACATGTCTAATTGTTAGATGCTTCTTCCTCATCCTGCAAGCAGGGGGCTCTGGTGGTATGTGTTGGTTCTGCTGGCCAGGCCGTCATTCCTCCTTCCTCTGATGGGAGAACCAAACTTGTCCAATTCTTAGCTCTTCCTTCAGGTTGCAATGGGACTGATCTCGCACTGGTCATAGGGGAAAGGTATGATTCAGTTTGGCCAATCAGTGCACTCCTGGTAGAAAGATTCATTCAAGGATGGCACAAGAGTGTAATGGGTTTAGTTAGAATGACACTTGAAAGGCCAAAGCTGAGAAGTGAAGGGGGTGGCCCCTGATATGATCGATTGGGCCATTATAAATTCAGGGCTTACCCTTGGACCTCCTAAAAATGTATAATAATATATTCCTGTTTGTCATCAGAAACATGAGGCAATCTTTCTGTTTGCCTAGGCCAGTTTGAAGGCCAACAAAAATCATTCTTGCCAACAAGGCAAATTAATTCAGTAAACATATATAATGTACAAGGTCTAGGAGCTTTCAATACATTATAATCTCTGCATTCAGATAATTAGAAAGTATTACATAATACGATAAATTGATAGTCTCTCTTTCTTTCTCTGTGTCTCCCTTCCTAGACAGGATATGTGCTGTTCAAGAGATACAAAATGCACAGAATATCATGGGGATGGGATTCATTCTGGCTGGGGAAACCTGGGAAGGCCTCATGGAAGAGGTGACATGTAAGTTGGCATTGGTAGAATGGTAGGCCTTTGACAGGCTGTTCTTGGACACAGCAGAATTTCAGGAAGAAAGAACTTCATGACTTAAAGCCGTGTGCCAATCAAAACTGCTTTTGTTTCTCACAAAGATGGCTAAGAAGTATACAAATAAATCAGTATTTAAATTCTAAGTGCAGCACATAGATAAACATGAAGAATTTGTTCATTCTTGGCCATCCAGCATCCAATATGATCAGATCGTATTCTTCTGACTTTGCTACTTTTCATCACATGACAGAAACACTGGCAGCTACTCAGTATGATTCCACTGCTCTGTTGGCTTGCAATCAAGAATCCTGGAAACCCAAGAGGGTTTCTGTGGACAGATGCCACTGCATTCATTTCTGAGATGAGAGACATACCTATGCAAGTCTATTTGAGGCAAATGGTTTCTCTTACGATGCTGTGTCCCCAACAGTGCAGATGTGAGTCTGATGGCAAATGCTGGGTAGACAAGGGCTCTGCCCACCCACCAGCTGGCTGTAGCTTATAAAAGCTCTCCCCCGGTTACAGTCATTGGCAGGGATTATTGAGAAGGTGCTTAAATGGAATCTGAAGCTTGGCTTCAGAATGGCTTAAATTCTCACTTATGGAAAGAAACTTTCCATAAGGCAATGTGGAGTCAGTTGTGAATTTCATAGTAATTGTGGTTTTTTTCTTTCCTTAACACTCCATAAAATGAACAATTTTTATAAATACTTACAAGCTAGTCAGGAAAGAAGATATTACTCTTTGTAATTTGGCTTCGAGAAGGAATGGGGGAGCAATAAAACAGAAGTGATTTGCAGGGATTGACCACAAATTACCCAGAAGGTAAATGAAGATGAGTACTGAAGGTTGTAAAGGATATTGAATGGATCTTTAAATGTTTCTGGTGTGAGTTAATAAAGGGGCTCAAAGATTGCAGAATTATATCAGTACAAAAATATGTTCTATGAAATTTAATTTCTGAATGAATGTTAATAGCATGAAAATAAACAAATTTGGAAAAATGCACCTCTAAATAGGTTACTTGGGGCAGGTTTTCCTAGGGTGTTTATAAAAGACCATTATGTATGCACTGAGAATTTCCAAAAGGGCTAAGTAGGATCCTATATTTCCAAAATTATTTGTACTGGGGCATTTTCATAAGCAGCAAAAGGGACCAAAATGAAAGTAAGCATAACTGTCTTATTTAATGGAGAGGAAATTGGGGCAGGAATAGTAGCTGAGTCATTCAGAGGCAACCCCAACTTGTCTGTGCTCTGATGAGCCAATGACTCACCACTGGCTATTGCCCACAGAACGGTCAATAACATTGTTCTCCTCAGATCACAGACTTTTTACTAAGGAAACTCCATTACTTGAGGGTGAAGGTGCAGGTGGATGCTGGAGAAGGTGAAAAGTTCTTAACAGTTGCCATGGGGATGACCTTATGAACTCAGTGGAGTTCCCATGGAAACCAGCCTCCAGATGCAGCATGAACCGTCAGGTCTCTCTCTTTAATCAGTGGAGCTTTCCAAAGTGAGAGCGAGTAGGGGGAAGAAGGACCGGGAAAGCTAGGTAGTTCTATTCCTTAACTCATTAGTCACCTTCACAGATCACCTCAAAGGCCACCTCCCCAAGGCAGTTTTTGCCACTGTATGTTTCCCAAAGCCATTATGATGCTGTTTGCCATAATATGAGATGCAGATTTAAAATTCCCTGTCACGGTTGCTTCACTCTGACCAGCACTATGTTAGCATGGGGCTCCTTGGGGGTTCTACATATGTTGTAAATACAGACCCAACCTATAACTTTCTGTTTGTGTGTGTGCAGCTGGAACAACAGGGTTCTTCTGTTGCGTTATACTTATCTCTGACTACCCCTCATCTAAGACCTCAGCAGCAATCGTCAATGTTCTCTTTCACTTCTTTCATACCTTACTGTTTCTACCACCATCTATTGTTTATACTTTTGGAATTACTGGAGTGTTTTTGTTTCTATTTGAATATAGGCAGTTTTCAAGTTCTACATTCTTTCTGAATACTGGATAGATTCACATCATTAGCCTTTCTCTGAATCGTAGACTCCTAGATGCTGTGCTATACTTTCTGTTTCTCTACAAAGCAGTTAAAATAAGAAATTCTCGAGGGTTGAAAGTGGAATTCACACCTATTGTGAGGAGAAAGAAATAAAACCTTGGAAAGACTAATACTTGAAACATATTTTGGAGAAGGTAAAGGATTTTTATAGGTGAGCAATGGATGGGAATACTCCAGGTAACTGGAAAAATGAGCTGGTATTCTGGTTCAATTGGAAGGTGGATGAAAGGGAGTAGAGGGGTAAGTAACTAAAATGTTGGGCTGGATACGGCACACTGAATACCACCAAAGAAGTCTTTGCCTGAGGGAGCCACAATTGTTTTGAGTTGGAAGTGACAACTCAACAGACTGACTCAGGAAAATTGATCTTGCAGTTATACTGCCATTTGTGATGGACAAGAGGCAACTGATGCTAAGTGATTCTGGAGGAGCTGGGACCAGGAGTTTGAACAGAATGTCATGAGATATGATTTTTAGATGACTCAGCACAATCTTCAGGTACAGAATTGAATAGGAATGAAGGCAAGAACACACAACCTTCAAATGGTTTCTCATTAAATCTTCTTTTTCAGTCCTACAATTTTCCATTTGGAGGGCACTTACCCCATAGACTAACTCTCCCACCATGCCATTCCAGGCTTTTGTATCAGGATCTCGGGCTCCATATTTCCCATCGCTTACGATCTCCAGACGATAGGAATAACCTACATGCTTGGCAATCTCTGCTGCTAGTTCTACACAGTAGCCCTCGTAGCGGTCATTGCCCTCAAACTGGTTGGCATTTTTCTTGAGCATCACGTAAGGATCTTCCTGATAGAGAAATGAGAAGACAGAGAATCTGGGTTATGTGTTCACCATGGGTCAGAAGGACTTGGATGTGATGGAGGAGGATATTAACATTAGTCAAGATATACTTTAAATCTACTTTTTAGGTTCCCTCGCCCCCCCCCCCCCCCCCCGCCCCAGTCCTTCACTGACATTTGGGTAAAGGAAGAAACAAGAATGTTTCATCTGTTATTAGGAGAGATACTTTGTTTCTTTGAGGTTCCTCTGGGGGCACCACAATGGGAAAATAGCATCAACAGGCTCCAGAACTCTCATGATTGTCAGTCATTGAAATCATAACAATCTCACTTGTATCTTCTTTAATTTAAGTGCTGGACTTTAGGTAATTTTTTTTGAAAGTATATAGAAACAGGTACAATATAATCTTATCTTTATGTTTTATATATGGAGCTCAAAGGAGTATAAGTGGTTCATCAAAGAGTAGAAGGTGAGGGGCCCCGCGTGATAGCCTAGTGGCTAAAGTCCTCACCTTGAACCCACCAGGATCCCATAAGGGTGCCGGTTCTAATCCTGGCTTCCCTGTTCCCCATCCAACTCCCTGCTTGTAGCCTGGGAAACCAGTTGAGGATGACCCAAAGCCTTGGGATCCTACACCCATGTGGGAGACCTGGAAGAAGCTCTGGGCTCCTGGTTTCAGATTGGCTCGGCTTCAGCTGTTGCAGCCACTTATGGAGTGAACTATTGGATGGAAGATATTCCTCTCTATATATCTACCTTTCCAATAAAAATAAATCTTTTTAAAAAAAGAGTAGAAGGTGAGAAGGTAAAAATAATGAATATAAGAAGTGTAGAGTGAAAGCTCAAAACCTCTTATTTCCAGAATATTCTTTTTCCTTTTCTTTCTTTCTTTCTTTCTTTCTTTCTTTCTTTCTTTCTTTCTTTCTTTCTTTCTTTCTTTCTTTCTTTCTTTCTCTCTCTCTCTCTCTCTCTCTCTCTCTCTCTCTCTCTCTCTCTCTCTCTTTCAACAAGTGCTTGTTTCTGTGGATAGGACAATTTGGGCAAGAACAATGTCTGCTTTCATTACTGGTAGAAAACATTTATGCTGATCCAGGTTGGGTCCCAGGTACTGTTGATACAGAACTGAGTACTCACTAGGATTGTAGTAACGATGTATGTTCTATTCTGAACACTTGAATTATCACCTCCAGCTTGAGCATCTGTGGCAGCAGGTACAAATTTATCATCTTCATTCCAGTAACCAATCTGTTAATGAAAAGCATGGGGAGATGTAGTGCGTGCCTGACTTCTTAAAACTGGCCTGTGCTGGAACACTCAGCCAATACCAGAAATGAGGAAGCCAGGAGCTCAGCATCACAATACATGGTATAGGACACTCTGAGCTCCAAAGCACTGGTAGACAGAAACAACAACAAACAAGAGGCATATTACTGCAACTCCACACCCAGTGATAACCCTACAATGGTGGGGCCAAATCTGGAAATTGCCTCCTTTTAGGGGCGAGTGCTGAGCTGTTTAGTTTCATATGATTTTATTCTGTGTATATGACCATAACCTTAGTTACCTCATGTCTTAACCCTGACCCTCCCTGAGCTCATTTTGAGATGTTGCTGAGATTACAGGATTGAAACATTATATTTCTTTCACTTAAGGTGCTAGGATTGTTACCTTGTCCTTTACTGACATGTTTCTTAGTATAAACCATTGTAATACTGTTCATATAGTAGATCCCCAAAGTAGCAATTGACAACACTAATTTTTCAAGTATCAAAAGGTTATCTATACTGACTAATTTTCTAATATGTTTCAGCAACTATTTATTAAATTCCTGATGTGTGCAAGACTTGAAGCTAAGACATTGGGAAGGTGGGTGGAAAGATAGAGAGAGAGAGAGAAAGAGAGAGAGAGAGATAAGGGGATTTGATCATTTTTGTTATTAGAATAGATCTGGTTTACTTGGGTAGTTACAATGTACACATACGTCGAGTGAGAATTAAATGTGAATGAGTTTAAGCACTCAGAAACAAAAGAAAATGTGATATCTGATTCAGGGGAAAAGGCAGTGGGAAGAGGCAGGGTTTAAGATTTTTGAAAGATGAAAAGATTGAAGCCAAAAGAAAATTTGAGCTAAAAAGTGAAGACAGGACTCTGCCCAATATGTAAAGTCGTCCTCAGTGGAACATGAAGTAGCTCAAGAGGGCATTGAGTACCTGAGTCTAGGTATTGGAGGCTTGGAAAGTAAGGCTGAACAGTGTGGATTCTCTCCTGAAGGCAACAGGGGATCATGTTTTGGGAACAGCAGAATGACATCTCTCTGTCTCCCTTTATCAGTTGTGTTCTGTTTTGTGGTCATGCTGTTGGATTTTGATACAAAGAAGAAGGAAGGAGAACTGGCAGCTGATATGGAGAAGGGTGAACAGGTCTACAAACAGTCAGAACTAAGATCAGGGTCTCACAAACCAAAGCACATGCCAAGTGGTCATCTTAGACAGCATCTTCACCTTGATGTCTTTCCTACTTCTTTAAGTTGCAAATCTACGGTTCCCTCTGAGGTATCACACCTGTTAATATTAACTGCCATCACTGATTAAAGTTTATTGTGTCTGATGTTAAGTATTTTGCATAAGGTATGTGGGTTAACTCGTCCAAGGTAATATAGCTGGAAGGTGGTTGAGGAAGGCTGGTACCCTGGCCATTGTCTGCAGATGCTACTTTCATGGCATTGTTCTTGTCAAAGGGCAGAGGTTGGAGGACTCAGCCCTGAGCTGGCAATCATGTTAGTTATTATTTATTGTAGTTTATAAAATGCTGATTGTGTTCAAGACACTCTTCAAACTGTTTTCTATGTTTTAACTACTTTGGTCCTCACACAAACTTATAAAATTAGATAGGTAATTATCGTCCTAATTTCAAGCGTGAAGAAACTGAGACATGCAAAGTATGGGAAGCTCCCCAAGGCAAGGAATCTGAGCCCCAGCAGTTGACTGTAGGAACATGCCCTCCTCCAGCATGCTGCTAGCCAGCCCTGGAGTATCCCCCCATGCCGCATGTGTTTGTGCTAGATTCCTAATTTGTAGCTGTTTGCTTGCCTGTATCTATTTTACCATTGTGTTGTATACTAGTTGTGGGCAAGGCTGAGGTATACACCTTTTGTGGCCTCTGTGTTAATACAGCATGTCTTTCACAGAGAGGTAGCTAAAGAATAGTTTGTAGAGAGAGAAAAAAAAATGCAACCTAGCATTTATGTGACCCAGCATGTAGGCAGTGGGTGCTGTTGATGCCAGGATTGTTCAAAAGCCAAAGGAGTGTGTCCCTCAGGTGACTGGAGATTTATACTTGGAAGGCAGCCATGTGCCTGTGTAGGATACTATCAGTGTATGTGGTAGGGGACTTTTTTCTCTAATGATCCCAAAATAAGAAATTTAGATTCCAGAATGTCACAAAAGAAAGATTATTTCATCCAACCCTTTCATTTTACATATATAGAGACTTGATGACAAAGACACTTTCTGAAGGTCCCACTGTAGTCTGTGCTTCCTCACTATACTGATGTTTCAAGGAGCCCTAAGGGTCCTATGAGATCTCTCAGCACGTTCCTGAGTTGAGGGAGGGGTCAGGAAAAGGGTGGAAGTTATGTGTTTTCTCATTTGTGCTCTAACACTCAGCTCTGTTTTTCAATCCACTTCCTAGATTGAAATTTTCCCTTGATAGTTGCTTTCACAGGAAGCCCTCTGGCTTACAACAATTGTTAAATCACTATGGCAGTATGTCATGATGCAAGATTTATTGTTTTCCATATATATTTTTCTATATATATATATATATATATATGTTTAATCTCCAAAATATTTTCACAACATTTAACTCTTATGATCTGCTCACTATGTAAATAATCCAGACAGGCCTGCCGTTACTTTCTGTCTTCCAGGTGAGAAGACGTAGGCTTAGGGAGATCAAATAACCTAACATATAAGGAAAATTTATATAGTAGATTAGTTTCAGGAACTCAGATCTCATGGATTGCAAAGGTAAAATTATTTCACAATCTTAAACTTGGGACAATGTCAAGTTGGTATGTTTCTCCCCACTGATTGGTGCTTAAGGTATGTTTGGTTCCTTCAATTTTTATCTCCTTTACCTCCTCTTTTTCTCTGTGTCCTTTATTCCCTTCCTTCCTTTCTTCTTTCTTTCTTTTCCCTTCAAAATAGTCCACAAGTCAGCTGTTTCTGCCTAAACTGTGCAAAGCTCAATAGAAAGTTGTCCTCTTGACATGCTATTAATTCGACTAAAACACATAGCATAGGAAGAAATTGTATTTAACTAAAGTGGAGACTCAGTCATTAAGGAGAGTAACAGTGGTTTTTCTTCTTGCTACTTGTTGAATTCTTTATTTAGTGGAGGATTAAACTTGTGATTATTCAGTAAATTGAAAGTATGTCATTGTAAAAATTAACGGAAAACTAAGGAAGGATAAGGGATGGAAGGAGGACAGGGTAGTAAGTATCTTATGCTTTCAAAATTGTGTATGTGAAATACATGAACTTGTTCTCTTTATAGAAATACAGAATTAAAAAGAGACCAATTTTTTTTAAAGGATATAGAGTTCCCTTAAACCTAGTATCACAGTACTACTATCAAGTTGGGATTTATAAAAGAATACTATGTTTTTGGTGGCTTTCATAGATCGTCTTTCATATTACTAGCTAGTATAATAATAAGTGAATGTTGTAAACAAGTTTATTTGTTTCTAGTCCTTTCGAAATGAAGTGAGAGATTACATCACTAAGCTTATTAGAACTCAGTGATGCCAGACCACAGGCCTACACCTCCTGTAAGCCAGATATTTTTTTTTATCATGAAAAGAAAACTGGCAAAGATTATTGAAATGACATTGGAATTTGGAGGTGAGAGTATATTTCCATTTCTTTGGCAAATGGCTTGGATTATTATACAGCCCTTTGATTCTCTACTGAGGGTATGCAGGAGCTTTGATTCTATCTGAAAGTAAGTCAGAATTAGTAGTTTGGTAAAGATTAGGGCCCACTGTTCAGGAGAGGATTTAAACAATCCTGACAGTGAGCGGTCTTCTCCTGGGGCCAGTTATAACTTTTGATCTCCTATTTTTCATGTACCTCTAAAGGTTCTTTGAGTGTAGGAAATGAGCTTAGGTGGTAGGTGAGAATTTTTTTTTTTAAAGTGGATGAAGTCTAGAAGGGAGATAATCATAGAACTGCAAAATCAGTTGATCCACCTTGCACAGTCATTAAGTTGAATATATGCTTGGAAATCTTTGGGCTGCCTTTGAATTCACAGCTCTGACCTCCAAAATGAATTCTAATTCAAACGAGTTTCAAAAAAACCAAGTAGTATACTGTGGCCAAGGGAATGAGCTGCCTACCAGGTGTACTGTTTCCCTTCCCTAGTGGGAAATAGCTAACTCTTCAGCAACTGCAGTTCTCAGCCTGTATAGCACCTGGTGGCTGGTCAAATGGATTCTGACCAATGGAATGCAACAGAAGTATTGTGCCCCTCTTCTAGGCTACCCTTAAGTTCCCAGCACAGTTTCCATTTTCTTTCTCCCCCATCTGTTAATTGTATCTTGACAGCTAGAAGGACCCAAGTAGATAGTTGGAGGCTCCACAAACCTAGGTCTTAGCCTTGGCCTAAAAACTGGCCACTGATTATGCAATAAATAAATTTATATTGCACCTGGTAGCTAATTTGCTGAGTTTCTCTCTTACAATAACTGAGGTTATCTAAGCTAACATACTTAGAGGATTTGACATTGATGTGTAACTTTATCTGAGTTCTATTTGAGGTATTACTTCATTAAACTTAGCAGTCTAGTTTTTTCTTTCTTATTGGCAGATCAATGGAAAGATATGCTCCCTAATTGCCCAGCAACATTAAATTAACTTGCCAGTTGTATAATAACTACCAATTGGTATGTTGTTACTTTAAGTCAGTATCTTTTAGGTTATAATGGTCACTGTTGTTGATGTTTAATTGCTTCTGTGGTGATCTTGGGAAAGGGAACCCTTTAAGAGGTGATTAAATCACTGGAGCTCCATTATCAAGAAAGGATTATGTTATGATCCTGGGAGCATGTTAATTATTGTGGAAATGATGCTATTACAAAGATGAGCTCTCTATGTCACTGTACAATGCCCTCTGCCTTTTTAAATGACATTACAAGGGCCTCACCAGATACTGGAACCTTAATATTGGACCTTCCTCTAAAACTG